GTGGCTTGTTTGTTTATGGAGCTCTCCATGTTTGTTGTTTGGCGGGTCCGGGCTGGGGATTTGAACCTGCCACCTTAGGTGTATGTGGCTGGCGCCTTAGCTGGTTGAGCTATAGGCGCCGAGCCACTCTGAGGTTTTCAAGAATGCAATACATTGTTATTATCCAAATGTATAGTCGTCATGCAATTCACTTTTATTTTTGTGTAACTAGTTTAGAAAAAGATAAAAGTGCACGTTTTCAGAGTGGAGCATGTGATGGGAATTATCGCCTTTAATTCCTTCACTAACTCCAGGAGGCAGTAGCTGTCATCTGCATGTTGCAACAGTTAGTAAAAGTGGGCAAAAAACTAGTGAGTCCTGGTGTTCTCACCCCAGAGCTGTGAGTCTCTAACTGCAGCACGGTACCCTATCCCCTCTGAAGCGGGTGCCAGGTGGGCATCTGTGTGGCTGACACTCCTGTGAGGCTTCTGCAGAGTCATGGAAACCTTTATGTTTGTCTTTGAACTGAGAAACTAGAAGATCCCCTCCATTCAGAAATGGATTTTTGCCATTCCTTTTTTTTCCCATTCTGAATAGGTCTATTGTAGAATCCCCTTAGTTTTGTTTAATTTTGAGAGTTAGGACAAATTATACCTATTATGACAAAAACAGACTTTATGAGAAAAATATATTTTAGGTCACTGGCTTTCTCACTGTGTCTTCGAAGAAGATGATCTGAGGATAAAAGATTGAGGGCAAGTCAAATTGTTCGGCATTAATGTTACAAGCCCAGCAGGGCGCGTTTAGGTTTAGGCACTGAATGAAGATCTTCATGAGACGTCTTTGCAGCAGATAATCAAGGGTAATTTAGGAAACTCAGTTCCTGAAAGTACTCGTAGTTAGAACAAGCTCATTTCGCTAAAGTTGGTGATTATAAAGAATAGCTTTAAATATTTTATGTTATCTTATTGAAGACTCACAATAATGTAATGATCATAAACGATCTACTGTGTGTATTATAGGCATTATCGGTACGAGGATGTTGCCCAAAGTTACCTGGCCAGTGAGGGTGAAGCCAGGATTCTGACTCCCACCCACATTGTCAAGCCCTTTGCCATACGGCAGTGCCATCCCACGGAACTGCCTGCGAGGATGGAAATGTTCGGCATCTGTGTAGTTCAGTGCAGTGGCTACGTGGCAGCTGAGCACTTAAAATGTGTCAGGTGCAACAAGGAACTGAACTTGTGGTTTTTAAAATTTAAATGAATTTAAATGTAAATAGCTTCATAGGACTTCTGGGTACCATATTGGAGAATGCAGCTTTGCGGGATTTTTTAGCTCCTGGATAAGTAGAGACAGTTGGGGTCACCCAGGCTAATTTTGAGTTTTACTGATAAGGAAACTGCAACACACATGGGTTAATAGTCTGTTCAAAGTCATACAGGTAAAGAAAGGGCCCGCACTGTGATCTAGGCATTGCATTTTCTGGTCACAGCTCTCCTCAATCTGCACTTCTTAGGCATCTGCAAATTCATGTTTCTGTTGCTCTTGTGAATATTAGATTGGAAAGGTACCGTTTTGGGGGAAAAAAAACACCTTATCTTTTTGGAAATACATGTCCAATTAACATTTTCCTGTTTTCTCAGGTTATAGAAACATTATCGCGACTTTCTCGCACGCCTATTGCGTTGGCCACAGGAATCAGGTGAGCACATTTTTTGTGGTTTATGTGTCTCATTCAGTTTAATGTACTGACTGGCTTATGACTGTTTCACAAAGCACCTTGAAGCACCTTCCGTGAAGAGACCACGTCTCATTTATGATGTGCCCAGTATATATATACACACATACATGGATAAGTGTCTAGTACATATTTGAAATTAAATGATCAAGTTAGAATGTATTCTTAGAGTTGAAAAAGACACCTGGGCTAACCATTTTTCTCAAATCATTGGTGATGGTTACTGTTGTTGTTTTTTTTAAAAAATATTAACTTCTAACATGCTTCATGAAGGCAAATACAAGTGCATAAGTAAATAAATATTTTAAAAGAGGATTCAATGTATTTATTTCCTATAGAGTAAACCATAACAATAGCTCATAACTTTTAAGAGTTAAAGAAATAATAAAGAAATAATCAGAGAAGTATAAAACATACTTCAAGTACTTCAGTACAAAGATGTCTGTTGAAGATTTGGTAGTAAAATGAAAGCTTAGAAGTAAATTAGTTGAATAAATTATGCTATCTCCTGGCAATAAAGTATTAGGCAGTTAGTAAGTGTGCAGTATAGATGCCCTTGTTGTGTTGGGCTTTTTCTGGTTCAGATACTATGTAACGTTAGATCAGTTGGTAAAGATGTATCAAAAGCTGCGCATGGCCTACAGATACATGAAAAAATGCTCTCCATCCTTAATCATCAGAGAAATACAAATCAAAACTACTTTGAGGTACCAGCTAACCCCAGTAAGATTAGCCCATATCACAAAATCCCAAAACCAGAGATGTTGGTGTGGATGTGGAGAAAAGAGAACACTTGTACACTGCTGGTGGGAATGCAAATTAATTCTTTCCTTTTGGAAAGACATCTGGAGAACACTGAGAGAACTAAAAATAGACCTGCCATTTGACCCTGCAATTCCTTTATTAGGTATATATCCAGAAGACCAAAAATAGAATTACAACAAAGATATTTGTGTCAGAATGTTTATTGCAGCCCAATTCATAATTGCTAGGTCATGGAAGAAGCCCAAATGCTCATCGACCCATGAATGGATCAATAAATTGTGGTACATGTACACCATGGAATACTATGCAGCCCTAAAGAAAGAGACTTTACCTCCTTCATGTTTATATGGATGGAATTGGAAAATGTTCTTCTTAGCAAAGTATCTCAAGAATGGAAGAAAAAGTATCCAATGCACACAGCCCTACTTTGAAACTAATTCATAGCTTTTATAGAAATGTCATAACCTAATTATAGCCTTAGAATATTGGAAGGGGGTGGGAGGGGGAGGTGAGGGAGGTGGATGGGGGAGGGAGGGAGATTGGTGGGGTCACCTCTATGGTTTACCTTACAAGGGTACAAGTGAATCTTTCTAAAAGCAAAGTATGAATGTTTTAACTCAATAACTAAGAAAATGACATGAAGGTTATGTTAACTAGTTTGATGAGAGTATTTCAAAATGTATATGAAAACAGCACACTGTACCCCATGATTGCATTAATGTACACAGTTATGCTACAAGAAATAAAAAAAAATAAAAAAGATATAAGCCAAAGGAAATAAAGGCCTCATGGGAAAGGAATGGATTTTGTTTTTTACTTACTTTCTTCAAGACTCCCTATTCCATTCTGCAGCCCTCTTTGAGCTCCAGGAAGGAGCCTGTGTCTCTGCCTCTTCCATTTGTCTTGCCGGTCTAAGGGAGAGGACCCCAGCGGGTCTTCCAGGAGTGCTTAGCACGGAACTGGGTCCAAAGCACAGTGACATCTGGGAGGACACCCTGCCAATGCAGATTCTTTCTCAGAAACAGCGGCCATGAATTTGGCATCTTTCTACAGAAGGGGTTCATAGCTGGATAAATGTTTAGCTCCTCCTAAGTTGCTCTTTAATACATGCATATCTTTCTCTGTTTAAATATATGAGGTCTGACAAGTTTGAAATGAACTCATCTTAGAAAGAGTGCTGCCTAGCTCATTGCCAAATATCACTATAGTCACCATCACAGTGCTTGCCCTGGGAAACCGTGGGCCCATGCCAGCATCTCGTCCACCCTTCAAAGCAATTTTGGAATTCCTTTTATGGAATGACCATCAGACCTGTCATCGTATTACCCTTGATGTCCTGAATGTCATCAAAATGTCTTCCTTTCAATATCTCCTTCATCTTCGAAAAAAGTCATTGGGGACCAAATCAGATGAGTAGGGAGAGAGTTCCAATACAGTTACTTATTTACTGGCTAAAAACTTCCTGGCAGACAGCGTCCTTGAGCTGGTGCATTATCGTGATGCAAAAGCCGTGAATCGTGGGCCAAGACTTTCGGTGAAGATTTTCTTGTTTCTCTATCGCCGCTGCTTACTGGGCTGCTGTGCTTCTCACAGTCAGCCAACGATTTTGACACATAATTTTGTCAGTTCTGCTGGTTACTGGCTGCCCTGATGTCTCTTCATCAGTGACACATTCTCTCCCCTCGGAAAACCATTTAATCCATTTGTACACTGCTGTGTTCTGCCTGGCACTATCCCCATAAACTTGGACTACCGTGTCCCTGATTTCACTTCTTCTCTTGCCAAGTTTAAGGAGACATTTAATGTTTGTTCCTTGCTCTGATGCAAGTACTGACATTCTTGTGACACCCCACAAAAACATGCCACAACAATAATGAACGCCACTCAGCAAGACACTTGACACATGTGGACACAAACCCAGCTGTGACACACCGCTCTACCAAGGCTGTGAAATCTTCCCAAGTTTGTACAGGGCTGCCAACGTACACGCACAGCAGCAAGGTCGTGAAGTTAATTGTTAGACCTCATATTTTATGTTTGTTTTGTGTGAACACAGCAGATTTTAAAAAAACCTGATCTAACGTTTATGTATTTTTGAACCTGAAAGATAGATATCAGAAGGGGTTTTTTCTTTGCAAATTTTCTTTTCTGTATTTTCCAATTTTTCTCCGGTAGACTTATATTGGTATAAAAGCATAACAAAATATACCTAATTTTATAAAAAATGATTTTGAAATTTTATATTTCTTACACATTGATTTTTTTTTCCCCCAAAAAACCCACAGGTTCCTCAGATATCTTCCCTATTTAATAATCGTTTAAGGCTTATTTATTTGATATTTTTAATGAAATATATGCCATACTGGCTGCCTGAAAAGAAAAAGAAAACTTTTGGCGTGAGAGTGTGATTACTAGGATTTTGAAGGGCATAAATTTAGGGCATTTTATGGGTGTTATGACATAAGTACATAGTATCAAGATGTAGGCAAGAAAGCCAAGTTGGAGTAGGAAACAGACCACAGTGCGATCGTCCTGAACAGGGGGACAAAGAAAACACCCTCTTCCCCCTGCGGTCTGATTGACTCATGTTTCTAACAAGTAAATGAAAATAAAAAATACAACTTCAATACCTTGAAGTCTCAGTAGGAAAGTATGTCCGGGTCAATAATCATTTGTGAAGGGCATGACGTATTTGTCTTCTAATAATTTTCATCTACATCTGTGAACTGAATCGTGGAAGGATGATGGTGACCAAATTGTTATCAGATCTCATAGCTGAAAAGCAAGGGTGCTGAAGGCGAGGGCACGTGTGGCACGGCTGCTCGTCCTCTGAGTCAGGTGCTGCCCAGGGTGAGGTGACCCTGCAGGTACGTGGCAGGTGGGAGATCAGATAAGCACCTCGGTATTTCTCCCCTGCACACGTGACTGTAGTGAGCAGTGATAATTGACTCAGATGATTTGGGGCGGTAGGTGTTGCAGCCTCCCTGGGGGAACCGGAGACACTGAGGCAGGAACCCTGGACATTGCTTAGCACGGTGACAGATCTGGCTGTTTAGACTGTAGATAAACTCACCGATTTAGTGAGAGGTAAATGTTCAGCCTGGTTGTTTCTTATTCACCCATGCTTTTATTATTTTTTTCTCCTCTTTTAGGCCCTTCCCAACAGAAGAAAGTGTTAATGATGAAGACATCTACAAAGGCCTTCCTGATTTAATAGAGTACGTGGACCATTTTCAGCAGAATTTACCCACTGCCAATTTTTATATCTGTCATGGGTTTTAACTGTGGATGTTCGAACAAGCTCTCTGACAGGGAAAAAGCAGCTTGATGATTAAGATATGTCAGAATTAACCCTAAACTGGTGATAGAAAACCTTACAAGGAAACATACAACTGGTTTTTCATTCCCGTTGTGTGTCTGTGAAGAGTAAAGCAGTGCACTACAGTGAAGAATAAGTTTGGAAGTTTCTCAAAGGCATAATAGAGATAGTAGATAAAACTGGAATTAGACAATTAAGGAACAATTGAAAAGAAATAGAATCTGCTACTGAAATTGCAAAGCAGATAGAGCATGCCTTATAAGTTCAAGGAAGGGCGAGATTTAAGTGTGGGCTGGAGTTATTCGGGGATGTTCCATAGATGGTGTTTATTGTGAATGGAGAATTTGGGGGGAGGCTTCAGTACACTTACTAGGAGAAGCAAAAGGTCCCTGAAATTGATTAGCTTCTGGTGATTGAGTGACTTGTGCAGATTACAAATAAATTTAAAATATAATCTTCACCCCTCAAGAAACTAATGACATTGATCAGGCATGTTTGCAAAGAATGGTAATAACAAATTACTCTCCAAGAGCGATTCAGAATCCTACGGAGATTCTTCCATTCATCCATTCATCCGTTTATCCATCCTAGTCCACCCAGCACATGGGCTTGCTTTTGCTTTATGACCTTTGCACTTGCCATTTCTTTGACCTGTTCAACTGACCATGAAAGTCTTTGCTTAGCGGTCCCCTTGCTGACTCCCCTGTTTAAAATTGCCACCAGCCCCTCACTTTGCTGTGTTTTTTAAAGCATTGACCACTGTCTAAGATAGCCTTGGTTTGCTTTATTTATTGTCTGTCTCCGTATTGAAAAGTAAACTTGGTTAGGCCAGGGATTGTGCCTTATTTATGGCTGAATCCCAGAGCTGTTTTTGGCCACTGACTACAGACGCAGGGATGGATGGTCACCAGCTGTTTCCAGAGTAGGTAGCTTTGGAATGGCCTTGGAGTCTTGTTTTCTGAATACTTCTCAAGAATAATTTCTTACCTCTTCTTAAAATCTCCAAGAACTCGCTGCCATTAATCATGATAGATGCCAGTTGTCTTACTGAATTGGCTACAATCTTCATAATGCCTGTAAGATTATTCTAATTAGATTCTTTGAAGTATTAGGAGGAATATATTAGTTCTGGTGCTGTGGTGACATTGTTCTTTTCTGACCTCATCAATGGTCATGCACGCCTATTAATCATCATAGCCTCCCCCCTATATTGTTCTATTTGTAGGTGTTTTTAGGCAGAGTTGATCTCAGAATAAATCCTGTGAGGGGCATACCTGTCTAAGTTTGGAGCCTGAACTGGCTGCTCTGAGATACCCCCAGTTCATGGTCTGTGAGACGCCGTCTGCCTTACCTAAGCTCTGTCCGGTGGTCGAGGGTCCAAACAGGGTGTTAATCCCTAGAAACGTTTGGTTTGGGGTTTGCTGTGACAGCTTGGTTTTTAGTCTTAGCTTTGTTGCATTCTCTCTGGACTTGTAGTTAATTATAACTTTGGGGAGTGAATTCACTCAAAGGTAAGTCCCTGGAAAAAAAAGACAAACCAGCCTGCTCCCCACTACAGAATTATTCTTCCCTAAACTGCAGAGACAGAAGCTGGCTGGAGTGGAGATGGCAGGAGATGGCTGATGGGCCAGGGTCCTCCGTACGCCCGCTTTTATTATTAGAGTGTCAGACCTGAGCATGATTATTATTAATCTTTTTTTTTTTGAGATGGAGCCTCAAGCTATCCCCCTGGGTAGAGTGCCATGGCATCACAGCTCACGGCATCCTCCAACTCCTGGGCTCAAGCGAGTCTCCTGCCTCAGCCTCCCAAGTAGCTGGGACTACACGCGCCCGCCACAACACCCGGCCATTTTTTGGTTGCAGCCATCATTGTTGTTTGGCGGGCCCGGGCTGGGGATTCGAACCCGCCACCTTAGGTGTATGTGGCTGGCGCCTTAGCCGCTTGAGCCACAGGTGCCGAGTCGATTATTATTAATCTAATATCGAGTATTGTTGGTTGATGGACCATTTGAAGAATATTACGGACATTTTCTGCCTCAGAAATAAGAAATTTTTGAATAAATTATTAGTAAGAAAAGAAGCTTTAGTCTAGGATTAAAGAACAAAACCCGAACAGTTCTAGCCAATCTTTTTTTGTGTGTGTGTACCCGGGAGTGTACAGGTATACATACCGCAAGTGTGCCACTCCCACAGTGCTTAGGGTTGAAAAAAGTCTACGTGGATTTTACAGGATTTGTGCCTTTGCTGTCATGGAGAGGCAGTCAACTGCAGGATTTCAGCAAGACTGAGTGTTTTCAAGGCAAGGTGGTGACAGGTCAGAGGCAGGAGTGCTGGGATCAGGAGCATCAGAGAAATGGATTTCATGCGCTAGATTTATTCCGAAGAGGATCCCTTCCAATGTGGAAACTGCATTATCTTGGTTAGTTCCCTCACTCATGGACTCACCACACCTTCATGTCCTATGACACGTTACAGAAAATAATCATCCCAATTTAACTGCCCCGCTGTTCTCTGGCTAAGTTGCCTGCTATAGTGTCGCAGTGGAAATTACGGAACTGCCAGTGTGCTCGCTGTCTCCCTGGCTTCCCGAGTAGGAATCTGGGCGGTACCTGACTCTGATGGTCACCACGCCTGGTTGACGTAGTGTCTCACATCTCTGTGTCCCTCTGCCTCTCCCCCAGTCACAGCTCTTAGGCTCTCTCACCTACAGCATTCTACCTCGTGGCTTGCTGATCTCGCCCTACCCTGCGGCCTCCCACAGCCCCTCTGTTGAGCCCCCGGTGCCCAGGGTAAGGGAGAGCTCACAGAGTTCATATATCTTCAGAGTTTGGTTTCACCTCTTCCCTCGAGGGGCCCCCCCCACTCACCTGGTCACACCACGTGGGATGCCAAGACTCTTCACGCCCCGTTTTCCTTCGCCCACATCAGCGCGCTTGTCTGGACTGCCCCTTTCCCCTCCTCATTTGGTGGGTGTCACCTCTGCTAAGTTCCGTGAGAGCAGAACCTCTGCCTGCCTGGTCTGGTAGCCACATCTCTTAGAACAGTATTTTTAAAGAAAGCACCTATGGAATAAATTGATATATTTAAGAGTGTTCAGAGTTGAGCTCAGATGTCGTATCTTCTGTGACGTCTTCCCTGATTGCTTCGGGCAGAGATGTTCTCCCCCGTCTCTGTCCCTGTAATTGGGACTCACCTCCTTTGCTGCACATAGAGAATTGCATGTTTATGATGTGTGCTGTTCTCTGTATCAAACTCTGCTCTCGGGTCTTCTGACCTATATATGCTTAGAGCCTGGAGCTCAGTAGCACCTTAGTGAATGTCAGCTGGGTGGACGGTGCGGGCTGGACACGTAACTCTGGAATGAACTTTCTCAGGGCAGAGGTCTCTGAAGCTTTTGTTACCACCAGGCCCCTCGCCTTACTACACCTTCCTCTCCTCTGGGGGTTTTCCAGCTCATTCCTGTCAAATGCCTGCAGATAATCCTTCACGGCAAACATAAACAACCTGGTGATGGTGCTGATTTTGAAAAGTGCCCCAAGTTGCAGTGTGACCTTTACAGTTCCAGTGTTTGTAGTTTTGCACAGATCAATTCATAGTGCTGTGTGCACAGGTCCGGGAGAGGTGCTCAGGGCTGGCAATACTGAAGAAGCTAATTTCTTTCTTAGCGTTATTAATGCTTCTCTCTAACATTCTAAATTGGTTAGTCTAAATTTTGGAATTATGAGTTAATAGAAGGCATTTGTACATGTCTTGAACTGAAAGGAAGAACTTAAGCGGCAACAGAGCCTCAGTGGTGGAAGAAGCCGCTCCCGCCTCGACTGGGAGTTTGTGACCTTGCGTGAGGGGCTTGGACAGGCTGCCCCAGTTAGTTACCACGCAGGTGCTCCTGGGAGCTTTAGAACTAGGGTCTATTTTCCATTTCCAAGAGACTAGCAGAAGACTTTAATTTTAAAAATATGTCATGGCCTTGAGGCTCTTTCTTTAAACAAAATGCAGACCAAAAAAAGCAAAAAACAAAAAACTCGTAAGAAGGGCCTGGTTGCTGGGGGAACCTGTAGGTGTCCTCCGCAATGTCTTGAAGGAACATGGCTTGAAAACCCCTGGATTAGGGATTGATAATCTGTAGTCATTGTTACTTTCAAAAGGTCATATATGGCACGTTGGATACTCCTTGACTCTTTCCTCTCCACATTATACCCTTTAAGACGGATGATGAAACCAAGGTCTTGTCATGTGACAAGTTGGTGGCAGTCTTACCCTCAGAGTACGAGACAGCCTTAGTGTCAAACCCTGGCTCTGCCTGTGACTAGCTGTGTCGTCTTTGGCAAACCACATAACCTTTGGGTCTTTCCACTTCCTCATCTCTTTGACGGATCAAATAGTAACGAGTGCCTGATGAGGACATTACTGGTGGATGGATGAAATGAGATAATGGACGCGGGATAATTCTGTGCTTGTGCGTAGTAACTGCCCAGTCAGTTCACCACATGATACAAAACGACCTTCACCTTGTGTCCCCTGTTTCAGTGAGACCCACGTGGAGGATGAAGAAGATCTCTACGACTGTGTTTATGGGGAGGATGACGGAGGAGAAGTCTACGAGGACCTAATGAAAGCCGAGGAAGCACATCAACCTGTAGGACTTCGCTTGTTTTCAGTTTCTCTGACTATCTCACTAGAAAAGCGATTGCTTGTAAGATTAAGGCGATTATTTGTATAACTTCTGCCAGTTTGGTTTGCTTTCTCTTCACTTGCTTGCAACCATCTAGCTATGACTTCTTACTCCATTTGGAGACCCAAGCATGGCGTTTTATAGTACAGAACAACCGCAGGGAATCTCTGGTCTAATCTTTTTATTTTGTGCTAGTGAAAAAACCAAGTCTGAGAGAGAAATGACGTGCCACCCAGCTAAATAATGCCACAGTGGTGATCGAATATGATTTTAGGAAATCATGCTATTATGCCATTATGGAAGTAAATCGTTTACAAAGTGGGTAAATTTTTTCTTTTAAATTTGACGTAGGAGAAAATATGCTTTAAAGAATATTTAACACGGTGGTTAGGTATTGATACGAGATACATTTTCCCTTTTGTTTGATTATAAGTCTCCGAGCTCTTGCTATTTATACACTTTGCCTTACAAATTGTCTGAGTCAGTACGAGCCCTCAAAGCTTTATTTGTAATTACAGTATCTAAGACATTCAGAAAGGATTACTTTGAATTATTTTCTTATCTGTAATTTGAAACACAAAAACTTCAGTTCAGGTTTTTATTAATATGTATGATTCTTTTATACCGAAGCGTTTTCTTCATCAGCTGGGGGGTGATTTAGGTTTTTCAGTGCTTTGATGAATCTTCTCAGCACTCTCTGTGCTCCTGCCTTTGATAAAGGCTACTGGGTTGTCCAGGGCTCCAGATGGGGAGTGGCAGCTTCTGGGGGATGGAAACAAGTGACCTGCCTGTGTTTGGTGAATGTGATGAGTGTGCTTTCCCCCACTGCGGAGGCCCACATGCTGTCCGTGCACTTTCAGAGCAGTTTTAGGTGACAGAGTATCGTCCATACCTGCTATGATTGTTACCTGCTGTAGGTGCCAGCAGGTTCTTCACCATCTTGACAGGTGACACATAGGTGGCAGTCTTACACTCAGAGTACGAGACAGGCTTAGTGTTTAACCTTGGCTCTGCCTGTGACTGGCTGTGTCATCTTTGGCCAGCCACATAACCTTTCGGCCTTTCAGCTTCCTCATCTCTTTAACAGATCAAATAGTAAGGAGCCCCTGATGAGAACATTAACGGTGGATGAATTAACCATCTCCCCTCAGCCACAGCCTCCCTGGGCTGGACAGGACTTGTACAGGAAGAACTTTGTAGGTGTGGGGCCCTTCCTGGGCGCTTGGCAAGTGCTGAGTGCTTCACACTGTTTTATTTCACTTACAGTTCCTTGGAGTTGGAACTGCAATTCAGAGAAGAAACCGAATCACAGAGAAATTTAGTAATTTGTTCCTAGTTACAAACAAAGTTAATAACAACACAAATGGTACTTGAACCTGATTGCATGATATTCCAGAATCTTTGATGTTCGTACACACTTTACCACCTCCGATCTCATATACTTCATAAAAGAGCCAAAAGCTAAGATGTTAGTGTTTAAAAGAAGTACAGATTTTTACTTATCAAATTATTTTTTGCTATTTTTGCAGTTATTTTTGAAGTGAAGTGTGTTATATTAAGGAAAGAAAGTATCTCGTACTATTTGTGGTCTTTCCAGATTAATTAACATTTTCAATAAAAGATGTTATAATTTAAAGAGAATGTCTGTACTCAGAAGATTATTTTTAATCGCTGAAAATCTTTACATTTACATTGTTCAAAATTTCGAACAAAAGCAAAGATATTTCATAAATGCAGAGAAATCTGTCTTTCAGTTATGTGTTTCATTAGAATAGAAAGTTTAAGAGAATAAACAACACTTTTTGTATCTACTACCAGATAAATTAACATGTGAATTTGCTTCGCTAATTTTGTTCTTGGTAAATTTAATTGCAGAAATGTCCAGAAAATGACATACGAAGTTGTTGTCTAGCCGAAATTAAGCAGACAGAAGAAAAATATACAGAAACTTTGGAGTCCATAGAAAAAGTAAGTTATTGGGTATTATTTTTGATGTTCAAATACTGCCTTATTACTCTGCTGAAGGCGTGTGTATTCTAATTTTTAACAAAACTTTGTATTTAAAGATCTCAAAGCAGATTGATTCATTCTGCAACTTTTAATTTATAGTTCTGGTACCTGAATGGCACTGTTCTAGGGATTGAGGCTAGAATAATAAATACAGCGAAACTGGTTCCAAGGCATTTGTTCTCACAGGGGAAGGCTTAGCACATAAGCAAGTAAGTCTACCAGGCGGTGATAAGTTATTTAAAGACAAATAAGGCAGGGAAATGGGATAGAGAATAACAGGGAAGGGCTGGTGGCATCTCATGTCCAGTGATAATGGAAGGCCTCTCTGAGAAGGTTAGACAGCTGAAGGAATCGAGGATGTTAGCCAGGAGCCATATAAGTATCCCAGCGAGGGATGGCAGAAGGGCCCTCAGATGGAACAGTGTTTAGCACCTGCTTCAAGGGGCAGCAGGAATCCAGCCTGGCTGCCCAGAACTAGCGAAGGGGATTGAGCAGTGAGCTCAGAGATCCTGTGAGTCACCAGGTCACGAAAGGCAGTGGAAACAAGAGCATTTTGAGCAGAAGTGACATGATGATTTACATCTTTAACATCTCATTTTGGTTCTTGTAAGGAAACTGGGAGAACAATTGGAAGGCTGTTATAGTAATCAAGACGATAAATGCTAGTATTGATAGAGGGGAAGGGGTGGTCAGATTCTGAATAAATTTTCAAAGTAGAGCTGATTGGATGAATCAGTAAGTAGAGCAGGTGATGAATTCAGTAAAGGATATGTAAGAAAGAGAGAAATCAAGGGTGGCTACTAGGTGTGGGCCTGAGCGACTGCCAAATGAATGGTGAAGATGGCACAGAGATGGGGAAGGATGGGTTTGGGAATCCTAAGTCTGTTAGGTCGATTGAATTGCTGATCCCTATTTAGACTTGAAGGGGATATATTGAGGAGGCTATTGGATATGAGCCTTGCATTAAGGGGAAAGGTTGAGTTGAGATAAGGATTCATCCATTATCATTTCACAATGGCATTAAGGTCTTGAGACTGATTGAAATCACCATAGGGGTGAGTATGTGTTCTTGGGGAAATGTAGTGTCTCCCCACTGAGGGTAAGAAAATGAGAACCAGGAGAAAATTTTGGAAGTTTAGGAAAATAGATGAATGTGTGGAAAAATCGTCGAAGAGAACAGGAAAGTGAGTTGATCAGGGAAATACAGTGAAGGGCTGTGGAGCCTTTCAGGCTCAGTTGAGTTCTGTGGTCATATTGAAACTTAGACTCTCAGCGTGGTCCATGCTTAAACTTCTTATGTACAGGCAAAAAGTATGTGCCAAGTGAGGTTTAACTCGGGTTTTAGTTTTTCTAGAGAAGCACGATGGGAGAAGGGAGGTAAGGTGCATGTGGGGAGGTCACTCTGCTGGTTCATGGAATCATAAATGGAGTAAGGAAGGACGTAAGGACACGAGGGCAGTGGCATGACCAGTGGAGTGGCAGACGATGGGTGGAAGGTCCTTGAGGGAATGAGCTGTGAAGGTGGGAGGCAGTGGTCAGAGAGTCAGTTGTTTGAGGCCAGCGCTGTGGAGCATATGCAGGTGTTGATAATGACACGGTCTTGGGGTATGATAATGAGATTTGGGAGCTGAGATGGAGGAGCACAAGATTATTGAAGGTCAAGGAACTGAGAGGGCCAGGCTCTACTGGGAGGATCGTCCACAGACAATCAGAACCCTAAGAATGAAAGCGGGTGATAGGTCAGGAGCTAAAATTCTTAAGGAATGATCCATAAATTGCATAAATGGATCACTGGTTTCAGGAATATATTATCTCCACAAAACATTTGGAGGAAACTTTATTTAAGTCCTGAAATATCTCTACAAATGTTGCCTTTGCTTGCCAACTCAGCCAATAGCATTCTCTTACTTTGGGAAGCATTTATTGTCTAATCTTTTAGTTTATATTTTAAATGTATTAGCTTGGATTTGTCTTTTTGTCTGTTCAAGTATAAAATATTTCAGACAGAGAAAGTAATGTCTGCTTTTTTGGCATTTGTAAGGCTCATAAACAGTTGGCTTTCAATGGACATTGGTTGGTTGTGGATGAAAAACTATTATAGAGATTAGGATGAATTATACTTAATTATTACTTCCCTCTTCTCTCCTGGTAGTATTTCATGGCGCCACTGAAAAGGTTTCTGACAGCTGCAGAATTTGATTCAGTGTTCATCAACATTCCTGTAAGTGCAGCTCTGCTAGCTGAAATTGACATGTCGTTCTATGAAACCTTCATTTTCTTAGCGGGTTCCATATCCCTGTTGTAACACCCTTTTATATTTTTTAAGAATTTTGACTCTGCTTCTACTTCCCCAGTTCTTCTATCTTTATATTTTATTGAACTAGCTATGTCATGTCTTCAATAAAAAGTTTGTGAAAATGCATTCAGAACACGAATGGATAAAAGGATCCATATGTTATCCTTAACTGTGTGTTATGAGGAGATAGTCTCAATAGAAGAATCCCTGCTACTCCCATCTGTTTGTCTCCTGGACTCCCCTTCTACCTCACACTTGCCTGCCCTGTTGCTCCTCTAGCCCCTCTCGCCCCTCAGGACACCCTCTGTCCTGACTACATCGGTTTCCCTTCCTTCTTTCATCCCTGCTCCTTGGTAAGCTCTGCTCTCAGTTGTATCAACTTCAACTCCCATTTCTGAAATAGATATTTCCTCCTGAGTCAACAGGCAAACTTAATGGCGAAACGTGAAAAATTTCCCCCTGTATTTATGCAAGCATTTCAAGGTTCAAGGCACCTTACCAGAATCTTGCAATCCTGAAAGGATATTTGCCTAAAAATCTCAGAAGCATGCTAAGTGCTATGCCAAGTGAGGAAATGTCAGGCAAGATTCTAGTTCTTAGACCTCTAGGACTTGCTTTGGTTTATATAGACACACACATGCACAGACATGCACATACCCGTGGACACACATGCACGCACATACACACATGAACTGACACACATATGCTTACATATGGTTTTATGCACAGTTTTGCTTGTGTTACTTAAAAAATTCCATATTCCATATATATATATACATGGAACCATATATATATGGGGTTTTTTTTTGCAGTTTTTGGCTGGAGCTGGGTTTGAATCCACCACCTCTGGCATATGGGGCCAGTGCCCTACCTTTGAGCCACAGGCGTTGCCCAAAAATTGCTTATATTTTGATTCTGTTGTATTCTGTGTTGATGAGCACCTGTCGATAAGTATGTTGTACTTATCCTGGATTTTGGCCAAACAAAGATATTCTCACAGATTTATAACACAACTGAAAGAAAATGCTAACCATATTAGTTGAAGTTTTGGCGTAAAGCAAATGGCACATTCCAGGATGATGAGGGATCTTAAACCACTCGAGTCTGGTCACTGTAACTTAGAACCCATTTGATAGTCCTTATTCTTATAGTTTTTCTATACTCCTCAACAAAGGGACAGGGCCGACACCTTCACGTTCGATTTCCACCCTACTGTGGAAAGACTCTGCTGCGGAGTCCACACGTGCTCTGAGGCCACAGGAAATGGTGCATTTGGCACCTGGATTCGAATTTTCTCGTTCTCTGGCTGTGACACGTATTTACTGCCTTTCTGAAAGTTACTTGCTTATCAGGGAAAACGTGAAACTCAGACCATGTGTTGCTCTAATAAATTGTCTAGTACAGTTTATTTGCTTCTTATTTATCCGTTTGGTTGTCTGATTTCCAGTAATTTCGTCTGATTACTGTTAGCTCAGCACCAGGTCACCACTAATTGACCACAGTACAAATCTACATTTGGATGGACATGAATCATTATTTTATCCTGTCAATAAAACATTAGGCACTTGGATAGTTTTATTTAAAAGTTTATAGTGATTATAAAATTAACATGAGCTGGATATATTTTTACATAAGGAATAAATTATCCTTCAATAGCTAGTGAGATGATTTATTTTTTCACAGAGTGCTGACATTTCAAGTCAGATCTGACATTTCTGTTTCCCACACTCATGACCCGTCTCTGTTTCTTTCTTTCTCTCCTCCCTCTCCCTGCTTCTCTCTTCTCTTCTCATCTTCCTTCTTCCCCGCCCCTTGTCTCCCACCTTTCCTGGCCCCTCTCCTTTTCTCCCACCCCTTTCTCCTTCCTCCCTTTCCCCTCTTCCCCTCCTTTTCCTCCTCTCCATATTAATGGTAACAGGTTTCCATGTTGAGAATATTCAGCCTGTCCTGAGGTCCTAAACGGCAAGTCTGCAATAGAGATTCTGGGTTTGGAACATATTTTTAAATTCTGATCTCTACTTGGCTTTCACATTTTGCTTTCTTTTCTAAGGACCTCGTAAAAGTGCATCGGAGCTTAATGCAAGAGATTAATGATTCCATTGTAAATAAAATTGACCAGAACTTGTATCAAGTTTTTATTAACTACAAGGAAAAGTAAGTTTTAAATGTTAAGTTTTGTGGGTCTTAGTTTTCAATGATCGTGGGAGTTAGTAAATAGCTATAGTTAATGTTTATTATAGCTCTACCTGGGCCATAATTAGAACCTGGGACAATTAATCTCAGGGTAGTAGTTTGAGCTCTATATGTGCATTAAAGAAAAAAAAGATTAGCTGGCATGCTGGTATGTGCCTATAATCCCAGCTACTCAGGAGGCTGAGGTGGGAGGATTGCCTAAGCCTAGGAGTTCAAGAGTGTGAGCTATGATCATGGCACTGTGCTCCAGCCTTTCTGGCCTGGGTGGTGGGGCAGAGTGAGACCCTGTCTGTGAACAAAAAGGAAAAAAAAACAAGGAAGATGTGAAGAGGCAGCATAGTGCTCAGACTTTTACAAGGGAGGCTCTCTCAGCCTCCATCCCCACTTTCGTAAATGTCAGGGGCAGATGAGCTGGTACTTAATGCTTCTTCCAACTGTAATATTTTAGGATTTTCTATTTTTAAGTATTTGATTTATAGCTAAAGTCATTTCCCTTCCTAAGTTTGGAAAAAAAAAAAAAAACTCTTGAAGAACTCTGTGATTCGGAGTATCAAGAGATTTTACTTAAAATGTAATTCTCTCTTTTTAAATCAAGCAAGATGGTTTCTAATACCAGCTAACGTGCAGCTAAGCCATTGCTTTGAGTCATCTCTTGGATAGACATTAAAATCTTATTAGTAGTTTTTTCCAGAATTAAGAGAGACAATAAACCAAACTGCCTCTTTGTGAAATGTTTATATCACTATGGAGGTCCCTTTCCTGAAATGGGCTGTAGTATGAGTTATCTCCTATCCAGCACAGTTCAGGGCTCCGATTCCCCTGTTTTCAGATGATGTATGTTCCTTAATTAAAAACTAGCAAGAAGTAGGAGGCTTATTAATGAGTAGAGTCATATGGAATGATTGTAATAAAATTGTGGTAGAAAACAGCCCTTTCCGAGTCTGAGTAAACAGTAAAACAATTTATCTCTAGTAAGAGCCTTTACTGAAATTTTCAGTTTTGTTTTTGAGATACATATATGATTGCTGAAATAACATTAATAGTCATTAGGCCAGTTTATAAAAGGTGTCTGCTGTAAGAATGTACATGGAATTAATCCCATTCAAAGTTAGAAGTAAAAATTAGTCATTGCTGTCCAAGTGAGTCTCATTTTATGAGTACATATATGATGTGTATTAGGAATTTCTACTTCTATTTTGATTATCCTTAACTGTGGTTTTTATAGAGAAGGAGATTCTGACTTTTTTCTTCTCTACTACATTCTGGCTTTATTTATTTATTTATTTATTTATGATGGAGTCTCACTATGTCACCCTCTGTAGAGTGCTGTGGTGTTACAGCTCACAGCAACCTCAAACTCTTAGGCTTAAGTGATTCTCTTGCCTCAGCCTCCCAAGTAGCTGGAACTACAGGCACTGAGCCATTCTTGATTTTTGCAGTGGTTCTCAACCTGTGGGTCACAATCCCTTTGGGGGTTGAATGACCCTTTCACAGGGGTCGCCTAAGACCATCCTGTGTATCAGATATTTACATTATGATTCATTACAGTAGCAAAATTACAGTTATGAAGTAGCAATGAAAATAATCTTATGGTTGGGAGTCACCACAACATGAGGAACTGTATTATGGGGTCGTGGCATTAGGAAGGTTGAGAACCAGGGTGTTACAGGTTCCTGCCTCTGTTTCCCTTTCAGGTTGGTTATTTACGGGCAGTACTGCAGTGGAGTGGAGTTGGCCATCTCTAGCTTAGACTACATTTCTAAGACAAAGGAAGATGTCAAACTGAAATTAGAGGTACCTGTTCATTTTTTATTTATGATATTAAGTAAAATAAACCTAAGAGCAACATTTTCCTCTTCGTGGTTAATGCAATACCGTGTTTCCCCCAAAATAAAACACTGTCTTACATTTATTTTTTTCTTAAGAAGACACACTAGTGCCTTTTTTCAGGGGATATCTCTCTCCATGCCAAAATGGATGGCATGGCTATGCAGTATAACTAGGTTTTATTATCAGGGTAGGGCTTACATTTAACAAATGCATAGAAATCCTGCTAGGGCTTATTTTTGGCATAGGTCTTATATTCGGGGAAACACAGTAGTGCATTTCTCCAGATATTCTCAATATAATCTCATATCAGTTTTATAAAATATTTTAATAGATAGCTCTATCAGATAACAGGGTAGTAATAACAATAGTAAAACCTAATATTTATGGCACTGTGTTTTATCTCACAGGGACCTGATAACTCATATATTAATTATACATAATGAATTTGTTCATCTTATTGATGAGAAAGCTGAAGTTTAGAGAGATTATGAGTAATTTGCCCAGGTAGTAAGAGGTGCTGGACAAGTAAGACATATGCTGGATAATGTATATGTAGATTTAAAATGTTTACTTAGTATAAGACACTTGGGAGCAGAGATATAAGAAGGGCCTGGATATTACTGCGAGAAGGAAAAGTGGACCAACACGAAGCCGAGTGAATAGTATGAGGCGAGCAGCATGTGGCAGGGCTCACGGGGCTGGCTCTGCCCACGGCAGTGAGGGCAGCTTATGGGGTATTCAGCCAAAGAGACAACTGAGAAGAGCCTTGACAGATGCGATTCCATGGAGGGCATTCTGGAGGAACCGCCAAATCTTGACCAGAAAGAGTCAGGAAAGTTTAAGAAATGGCAAGTAGACCAGTGTAAACAGAGCACTTGGTTACAACAGAAAATAAGTCTGGAGATGTGTTAAGTCATGTTTTTTTGTACTCCATATATATATATATATCTGTATGCTGAAATAACATTTATATATATATATATATATAAACATATATAACTAGAGATTTTTTTTTCACAAGAGGAGTTCATACTTCCAAAGAACGTTTGACAAGTGATTGCTATGTGATTTTTTCATCTTAAATGTATTATCTGTGTGTTTGGATTTTCTTAAATTTCAGGTAGAGACACCCAGTGGACTCTTCAGCGACTGTGTGGCTTGTCTGCCTCTTTTCTGTCCCCTTTCTTCCTTTTTGTTCAGTTGAGCAGTGATGTCAGGGGATGGATCGTGGAAAGAGGCACCGATGATTTTGAAATCAGAATTCTTCGTTGTCTCCGCTACCTGGCATGATTTCGTAGCTTATAATTCCCACAAGGGGAAACCAATGCTTAGAAAGCTTGTGTGTTAACAGGTCACCGAGGAACAGTACTAAATCTGTGTCATGGCTGATCTTGTTTCCTCTACTTTGTAGTATCCCTCAGTGTTGTTGACCTTGAGTCTGGACGTAGGTTCAGTTGCCACTAAATAGCATCCACCCAACGTTATCTGTGGCTAAGTGTTCCTGCTGCTTTTTGTTGAAGAGAGCCTCTTAGATATAGACCTGCAAGCTTCCTTGACTCACTGAAATAGGATGATAAAATAAGACTTACAGATCGTACAGCTAATTTCTAATAGAGCAACCATTAAGCCAGTTTTTCTTTTAAATGAAGATATGAAATTGTGGTTCAGGAGAGGAGTGCGTGAGCGTCAGTCATACCTGCAGTATATTCTCAGTCTGGGTGGAGTGTTCGTCTTCCTCCTGTCAGAGTCTCTGTCACAGTCCCGCCCAAGCCGAGACTCAGGGACTCTGAGTACCCAGCTTCTGCCATCGCCATCAGTGTCAGGAAAAGAGAGGACCACGGGCCGAGTGTGAGGGCACAGGGTGAGGTGCTGCTGGGCTGTGCTCTCCTCAGCTTACAATCTGGTGCCTCGGACCACAGGCCTGATTCGGAAGTTTTTAATCAGATACTTACTGTCCCACTTCAATAGGTGCCCAGCTGGAACTGCTGCCACCGGTCCCAGAGTGACGGAGGGGACGTTTCTTACTCTTGGTGTCTCCCTGTCGTCTTTGGGTCTTCTGTTTTGTAGTTATTTTTGGAGAGTTTCCAGAGACAATAAGTTTTCTTTCACAAAACATCTGTATTTAGATTTTTTTTTTCTCATCCTCTCTTCCATTATCTTGAATACAGGAAAGTCCTGGGTGCCCCAAAGATTCGTGCCTCATGGTGGCTTTTGTTCCTCATCTCTTACGTGCTTGGCATTTCCCTTAGCCCCGACCTAGATCCACCAGTTCCCCACGAAGAACATCCGTGACTGTGGGACACTCGTGGTTGCTGTTTGGTCCTTTTAGCAGATCATCCAGCGAGCGTGTGGCCTGCTGAAATCCTAATACATGTCCTGTCTCTGTGCCATGCGCAGATGTTGGGAGAGCATTCTGCAGTGAAGTTGAATGATGCTACTTGAGTGACTATGCCAGAAATTTATGAGAAAAATAACATACATGCACGTTGAAACTTTAATTGTATATCTGAGCTTGGAGGAGGAACAGATTTTTCAAGGCTTAAGGGCTGACAAACCCATGATAATCTAAATTCAATTTTTATTCTTGGGAACTTAGAAATTAGTGAGAGTTTTTATTTTTATTTGATTTTATTTTTATTGTTGGGAGATTCATTGAGGGTACAGAGAGCCAGGTTACACTGATTACATTTGTTTTTGAACCAAGATAACATGGGGGGAAGGGTGATAGAGCCTCTTTATCTTACCCCGTAAGCCCGGCTTATCCTACCCCATTTTATTTTCCTTCTGGTTATAATTGAGTTGAAGCTAAGACAGTGACTGGATGTTTTAGAAGAATGAATTCTACTTGTTACTACTAAGCATTTTATACCTTAGTCTCCAACCCCTGGTTTTAGCTAATGCCAGCAGTGTTGGTTACTTCCTGAACTTAGAACTTTAAGGAATAATTTTTTGCCAAGAATTTTACACTAACTTCTGTAATTTAGTAATTTTAAATGTATAACATTTCTGCTTTTAACACTGTATTGGGATGGCATTAACGTGACGTGTAAGTGGCAACCTCAATTCCAGGCACTTTAAAAGGCAGCTGGGGAGGTAAAGCCCCACTCATTAAAATAATAACAGTTTAACCTCCTGCTTGAGACTTATGATCCAAAACTGTCTACAATCAGTACAAGCTCAAGTCAGTTGAAATAGTTATCATTTTAATGAGCCATAGTAATTGATAAGACATAAGCTAACATGTCAGGAGATCTATAGTTAAACACACTCATTAAATCACGAAGAAGATCATTAGAGTTAATGGTGTTTGCATAATGGTTCCTGATACTATATCATTCAGTGTGCCAGAAAAGCTAAGTGTGGGCAAAGGGGAAACAAATTTGTGAACAAAGAGTCTTTCTTTCTTTCCCTTTTTTTTCAAGAGTATTTTCTTAAGCACAGCTCCTTCTATGAACTGGAAGCGTCCCTGGACGAGGGTATGCCCTCGTGTGGGTTTTTAACATTAGGCTGCTCACTCAAAGTACTGTTTGTAGGGTGCTTTATTTTTCTGAATGACACCACAGGTATACGAGAAATGGTAAAATCACAGAAGTGGCTTGTCCAGAGTCCCAAATTCACACTTCACAGCATTTTCCTCAAAGACCCTAGTTATTATCAAAACAGTGAACAAATGAATACTATTTAAGTAAACTTTTAAGAAAGAATGTGAGATTAAAAAAATAAAATCTGAGTGCTTTAAAAACTTAAAGAGCCCAGCAGTAGATTTATGCTTTACAAGTTTTTGGAGTCAAACATTCTATTTCTTTCAGTTCAATAAGTATTGAAGTATAATAAGTATATGTAATAAGCAAATGCTAGATTCTTAGAGGCATCAAGGACAGATATGTTGGGGAAGGTAATATGAGCCAGACATGGTGGCTCTCACCCATAATCACAGCATTTCAGGAGGCCGAGGTCGGAGGATCATTTTAGTCTAGGAGTTCAAGATCAATCTGGGCAACATAGCTGGACACCCATCTCTAAAAAATAAAAGTGAAAAAGTTAGCTAGGCATGGTGGCAGGAGAATCGATTGAGCCCAGGGGTTCAAGGTTACAGCGTATTATAATTGGATCAATTGTGCTCTAGCTTGGGCAACATAGTGAGACCCTGTCTCTTATTAAACAAAAGAAAAAGTTAGGTACAACAATAATTAAAACACAACCGAAAGACAAAGAGAGAGAAAACAGTGTTGTTTGGAGTTATTTAGTAAAGTCCTAGAAGTAGAGTTATTAAAGAGGATGATGAATTTTGTGGGAGGCTGGACAAAGCCCATGGCGGTTGGAGAGAACTGAATAAACCAAGGCATGAGATTTGTGGCAGGTTTGAGTGGGTGCAGATTCTCCATAAGCCTCCTCGGGGAGATTGGTGAAAGTTATACATGGACAGGAAGTTGAGGAAGACCCTGCAGGGACACAGTTTTGTATTAGAGAAAATAATTTTCATACATGAAATAGTTCTATTAGATTCACATTTGGAGTTAAAATAATACAGGATTTGTTTGGCTTTTGATTGAAGATACTTTCTATTAGTTAAAGAGAAGGATTGTCAAGGAAAACAGCAAAATGTTTATTGTACAATAACAGTTCTGCTTATGGCCTTCGCATCTGTCAAAGTTTGTGACGCCCCTTAGGAAAACTGACAACGTTTTTAAAAAGTTTTCAAAAATCATTTCTTTAGGAATGTTCCAAAAGAGCAAATAATGGGAAGTTTACGCTTCGAGATTTGCTTGTGGTTCCGATGCAACGTGTTTTAAAGTATCACCTTCTCCTCCAGGTATGTGACTTAAAACTACTTGTTGATTGTTCATTTCACAAGCTATTAACGAAGTATGACATATATTATGGATACTCCGTGTTTTGGGCCCTATTCCCATAAGATTTTTGATCGTTTTATAGCTAAATGTGAAATAATAGAACAGCTGGGAATTTTTTCTTCCCTATAGCAAAGATGATCCTGTGTCTTGCTATAAGTTAACATTTTGTGTTTTTCAACTAGGACTGGCTAAAAAAAAAAAGTATATATATAAAAAACATGTATAGCGATACATATATATGTTACATATATAAAATAAGGCATGTCACTTTGACCATGGCTTCTAGAAGTAATAATTTATTAGCATTTCAATGTTGTGATGCATCTGAATTCTGGCAGATTAATCATATCAGACCTTTTGCCTTGTAACAGTAAATTAAAGAGGATTGTGTCACATTCCGTCCTGCTTTCTACTGTACTAAATTATAATAAGACTACATTTCTTTTGAAATGATTCTTGTTATAACCCACAACGCTTATGGTTTCCACGGTTAGTCCTCTAATGAGGGTGGAGAGTCTTATAAATTTAATTTGATAGCTATGCCAGGAGACTCATTAGTTCAGCTCCAAAGAAATGTCTGACTGTATTAGTCTGTCACCTCTGCTGATGCTTGTGAAATGTCGTTTTAAAAAGATCTACTACCTGTATGTGAAATATAATTTTGAGTCTGCTGTGCTTCGTACAGCTTGTATATTAAATTTCTTGAACTGGAGCTGCGAAATTATTAGTCATCTCTATTTTTGTTCTACTGAGAAATCAGAAAAATTCAAACCCTGATTATTCCTTAAAAATGCATTAAAACATTTATGAGACCTAAACTCAGAGCAACTTAATCAAATTGGGTTTTATGAAAAAATAATAAGGAAGACTTAGGCAATCAGTTTCCAAGGCATCTTGGAACTAAAAACATGTCCAAAATAAGATAATAATTTATTTTGTTACTTTAGTGTAGTTAAATATTGATTGAAGAATTTAGAAGGTGTAATTTTTAAGAAATAATCTATTTTCGTTCTTCTGAGGCTTTGCACAGACTTATCAAAGTAGAAAATATGACTATACTTTATGAAAATAAGTGGACTTTCCCCCCTAAGTTCTCTTGGTTTGTTTTGTGTTTCAAATTTAAAGTGTATGTTTAGTTCCAAAATGAGTTTTTAAAATAGGAAAAAGTTTTATTTTGGATATCACACATAGAAAAAACATTTCAGAAATGTTTTTCCATCTCAAAGTAGTATACAATAAAACGTATTTTTTTCTCCTGAAATTTGTTGAACAACTGTGGTTGTAAATTTGGACATTTTCTACTTACTACTATACAGGGGAAATTACTCGATATGCTTTGACTTGAAATCACAGATTCATAAAATAAGCATGTTTTCTAGTGGGGGATTGGAAACTTCAAGGACATTTTACTATTTGTATTTAATAAAGTAAAACAGAAATAGAAGAATAGAATTTTGACAAATTTATTATATTTAATAAATTCCCCATCTGCCCTGTTTACAGCAAGAAACACTAGCAGTATTGGATTCAGTAAAGATTTTTGAGTGTCTTTCTTGTACCAAGCATAATCTTGGACACCTGTGATACGTCTACAATACAGGCACTCTACTGCTGTTTAGAAGGGAGAAATGAAATTTAAACTGTCAAGAATAGCATAAAAGGTGTTGTGAAGAGGTGGGACAAACAAAGGGTGAAATAATTAAACCTCAGGAGGCCGAGGATTTGAGCAGAGGCTTTTGTCATAGGAGGCTTTTCCCAGAGGAGTGATTCTTGAGTTGGGCTGAGCAGAAAGGGTAAGAGTTAGGCAGGTGGATCAGAGAGGAAGAGCTTTCTAAGGAGAAAAAGCATCATTTCTAATGGGATTAGGTATCAGAGCATATTTTGAGAATTAAGATTAATAATATGCATAGAATAGAGTTGGTTTGGGTAGCAATGGAGAGAGAGGAATTAAGAGGTTTGCAGAATTCAGATCACAAGGAGGAACAGAGGGATGGTGGTTTTGTGGACCATCACAGAACTCGACTTAGGGGAGAGGCAGGATCTGATTTGCATTTTACAACCCTAACTCTGACGTTAATACGCTGAGTGGATTATAGTGGGGAGAGGCTGCCAGTCAGACAATCAATCAGATGCTCTTTATAATTACCTGGTTAAATGAGAGAGAACCTGCCCCTGAGTGGTGACAGTGAGGTTGATTTCAAGGGGCAGGATCAACATTAACATCGACAGGACGCAGGGAGAAGGGAGGGAAGAATCTGGGACACCTGTGAGGTTTGGCTTAGTGGAGTGTACTGATGGAAGTGCCATCGTTAAATAGAACATAAGCAGGAACAGGAGTAGGGCTCTGGGTGAAGATGGATTCAGTTTGTGGCGTGGTGGGTCTGAGGAACTTTTTTGAGTTCCTGGGTAGAGCTATTTAGTTGGGTGGGTGAGTCTGGGACTCTGGCGTCGGTTTGGGGTTGAGCACTTACATTTGAGAGTGACTGCCCCATTGAGAATGGTTGCGATAGAATTTGTGGAGTGTGAAAAATAAGTATGAAAGAGTGAAAATTTAGGGCACAGTAACTTTCTAAGAGGAAGCCAGAGAAGACACTCTGAAAGGTTGAGGAACAGGCAGAAATTTAGGGTGGACTAAGAAACAACAGCAATGACAATGAAGAACAGACGCCCCTGATGCCCCTGTAATGGGGGAGAGATGCGTTCAGGAAAATCAAAAGCTCCAGAGAAGCAGATGTGAAAATGAGTAAAATCCATCAATCCCGTGAGCATTTGAGGGGCCTTTCATACCATCTGGGAAGCAGTGCCCATGTCATGGTGGGAGATGGAATTCAGATGCATCTTAGAAAGGGAAACATTTCCAAGTGTCTGTCTCATGTTCTTTTGGTGTCTGGCTGGTCTTTTTAAAGTTTCAAAAGAAATGGAACCTAGTTACATCAGATGGATCGCATTATGGAGAGAAAAATGATAATGGTTTTTTATTTTTGAAAATGTTTCCTTTCTTATGTCTTCATTTTAATTTGATAAAAGTGGTACTGAACTATATCTTCCCACTAGGAACTGGTCAAACATACCACCGACCCCACGGAGAAGGCCAACCTGAAACTGGCTCTGGACGCCATGAAGGTAAGACGTGTGTCTCAGGAGCTCGTTTACATTTTTTAATTCTCACCTAGAAACAAAGACATCTAAACTGCTAATCCATAGATACGGTATGCTAAAATCATATAATACATATTTGTTTTTGATGCGAGAAAGCTGGATCCTTTTTTTTCTTTTTACTGAAATAGACATCCTTGCATGGATTTAACGATTCAACAGAAACACATGAAACAGGTGGATAAAAATCACTTTTGTACAAATACGTCAACTTTCTTCACTACCAGGAATGATTTTTTTTTTTTTTTTGAGACAGAGCCTCAAGCTGTCCCCCTGGGTAGAGTGTCGTGGCATTACAGCTCACAGCAACCTCCAACTCCTGGGCTCAAGCGAGTCTCCTGCCTCCGCCTCCCAAGTAGCTGGGACCACAGGCGCCCGCCACAACGCCCGGCTATTTTTTGGTTGCAGCCGTCATTGTTGTTTGGCGGGTCCGGGCTGGGGATTCGAACCCACCACCTTAGGTGTACGTGGCTGGCGCCTTAGCCGGTTGAGCTATAGGCGCCGAGCCCAGGAATGATTTAAAAATCATCTTGAAAGTGATTTCAAATTGCACACGAACTTTATGGAGACCCTGTGTAACGTTTTTGTCTCATATTCTTCTCATGATTGCTAGTAGAAGACTGTTAGTTTGGATAAGCGATAGGCCAGCTGGTGACTTCAGCGCCCCAGGGTGACTTATTCCTCGGATGAGGGTGTCTGCCAGGTTTGCCCTTCAGGAAGCTCTGCACCAACAAAAGTGGATTTCACTTTGTGCTTCTGTTTTCAGGCAAATCCGAAAATGCAGAAGTACAAATAGGTAAAAGCAGACGTTTCAAACGTATTGGAGGAATGTGTGGAAAGCTCAGTATCTACATGATGTTGAATCAAAGTGATTTCAGAAGACATTACATGTATTTGCCCATAACTTAAAACCTGAAAATATTTGTTCTTAAACATGGCCGTGCGACCTTGCTCAGGGCAATGGAGAGTTACTTACCTTTGTCCTTGTGCCAATTTCCATGTTAGCTTGGCTGTTTAGCTGATTTTAGTACCCCTGTCGGGAAACATCACACAGTTATTATTACAGAAAAGTCCTGCCAAGATTCCATCTTGTAAAAGAAGTTGTTTGTGGATACAGCCTATGAAAATCAGACTTCCCTGCAGAACAGAGTTAGGGACGGGTCTCTGCAGAGTTCTGTTCCTCCGGTTGCAGATGATTTTAAGAGGGTGGAGAAAAAAAGAAAGAACTCAGAAAACAGGAGAATCTGGAGCACATGTAATAAAAATAGCTAGTTACAGTATGGAGAGATTAGCTAATGTTTCCTCAAATACGAGAAGAGATGTTTTAAAATAGGGGAAGGCACATGGAGCGACATGGCCAGCGTTTTCTTATTCACTTTAATTCATGAATTAAATTTAGTTCTGTGCTATTTAGCTCCTCGCCGCTCCTTTATTTCTCCTTTACAATCGAACCATCTTCCTTGATTGAGTGAATGCTCTTAGGTACCAAGAAGCCGTTAACCGATGGCAGAAAGCAGCCTTCCTGGATTCCTTGTCTCACTTTTAGCTCCTTTTCTGCCCCCCGCTAATCTTTAATTATTGCCCTCATTCTAACCTGTGCAAAAATATAATTGCCTCAAGGTCAGTTATTAACGTGCTTGGAACTTAAATGCTTCTGACCCACTTTCCTTTCCGTTGCTCTGCTCGGTGGTGTATTTTGTCTTGTTTTTGAGGCAACAGCGTCCTCGCTCTTCTCGGGGGTGTGGGGAACACTTCAGTCCTCCCAGCTGTACTCCAGACAGTTCTCAATTGCCTTTGAGACGCAGCTTTGATTGACTGGATGTTCATTTTATTGTCATGGAAAAGTTGTGGTGGTTCCTTTCACCACTAATGGACTTAATGATGTGTTTTCTTTCAGAGAAGTTTGCCTCTCCAATCTCAGCGCGCCTTCTTTTTGTCCCCTTCTCTTTCTTCTCTAGGACTTGGCACAGTATGTGAATGAAGTGAAAAGGGATAATGAGACACTTCGTGAAATTAAACAGTTTCAGCTATCTATAGAAAATTTGGTATGTAATTATCCTTCCCTCCCACTTCCCCTCACCCCTAAATCGAAGGACATTCTAGGAGTTACTGAAGACAAGTTAGTTTACCTTCAAGTTTCTGTTGTTCGGCTCAGTGCCTGTGGCTCAAGCAGCTAGGGCGTCAGCCACATACACCTAAGGTGGCGGGTTCGAATCCAGCCCTGGCCCGCCAAACAACAATGATGGCTGCAACCAAAAAATGGCCAGACATTGTGGCAGGCGCCTGTAGTCCCAGCTATTTGGGAGGCTGAGGCAGGGGACTCGCTTGAGCCCAGGAGTTGGAGGTTGCTATGAGCTGTGATGCCATGGCACTTTACCCAGGGGGATAGCTTGAGGCTCCGCCTGAAAAAAAAAAAAAGTTTCTGTCGTTCGAGCCCTTCCACCCCCATTCCTCTGTTTGGCAGCATCTGCACAGATGTTTGGTGGCCAGTGACTGGCCACTGTCCAGGGACTTTATACCATCACTGTGGTTCTCAACTTTGTCACCCTCTGCCTCTTCTCCTGGCAATCTGAATATCAAACATGGGAGGCCATTTTTCCCCTTTTCTTTCCCTCTCTGCCATATGTACTCATGGCTGATTCCTGTTCACTTGTTAATTTTACGAATATTTATCGAGTAACAGCTATGCACCAGGCACTCTGCTTGGGGTTGGGACCGTAACTATGAACAAGATGGTCTCATAGTTAGAAGACAGTGGGAAAAAAAGTGTTTAAAAATGCCATATTGAGATTAGTGCTAAGAACTAGATGTTTTAAGGGAGGATAATCATAGGCGTTCTAGTTCAGATAAGATGGTTAGAAAAAGTTCTTTTGAGTCATTTGAAGGAGGATGTGAATGATAAGAAGTCAGCTGTACAAAGATCTGGAGAGAGAGAGGGCAAGCCAGACGGAAGCCATAGCAAGTGAAATGCCCAGAGATGGGCAAGTGCCAGGGCGTATCATAGTCTGAGTGACATTTCAGTAGGACCCTATAAGCAGACACACTAGTCAGGAGCTTTGGCAGTGGTTTCCAGAGAAGATGGAGACCTGGGTTAGCCTCTGGGCAGTGCAAATTGAAATGAATGAATTTAAGATCCATTTTTAGTAGAGCAATTTATTTCATTGCTGCTTTCTGTGAAACATCATGAGTCTTTTTCACTCTTTTCACACATACAGCCATGTCCCCAATTCAAGACACCATTCCTGCCACCTTCCCGGTCAAGGCAGAGTCACATCATCTGCTCATATAGTTACAGTTCCAGACTATAGATTTCCCAGTATACTCTCTTCCCCAAATGAGTTAAGATGTTCTGTTGTCTTCAAGGTTCCCCACCACAATCTGTCAGGCCGTCAATGATCTGGACTTACACTATTTTTCTGAGTTCATCTAGCTAATAACTGCCCACGTGCTTGGCATTGAGGATATGTCACTGTATTATCAGGTCTCTGATTTGTCGTAGATTTTTATAGTTCTGCCTTTGATCATAATCTTCTCAGAGCCTAGAATGTCTTTTCCCATTATTACCTATCACATTTCTTCAAGGTCCAACTAAAATAAATCCCTTTTTCTCATCTCCCATCATTCTTTCCCTTGGGAATGCCATAGCCAGTGCCTGGATGGCTGTGTAGCATTTAAAACAAATTGTGGCTAACTAACATGACATTTACTAATTTCATCATTTTTTAATGTATAGTTTTGTGACATTAAATATATTCACAGCTCTTTGGACCATCCCCATTGTCCATCTCTAAAACTCTTCATTTTGCAAAGCAGTCTATACTCATTGAACACAAACCCTCTCTCCCTTCTAACCCCGGCCATCTACCATTCTACTTGATGTCTCCGTGAACTTGACTCCTCTGGGTACCTTGTATGAGTAGAATCACACAGTTTTTTGTCCTTTTGTCGCTTCTTGCAGTTAGCATGATGTTTTCAAGGTTCCTCTATTTTGTATTACATGTCAGAACTTCTTTGTTTTTTTAAATTTCTGTTCATCTAAGGTTCACTAATACAGCACTGTGTGTGTGTACTTCACATTTTCTTCATTCATTGGTGAACATTTGGGTTGCTTCCCTCTTTTGGTGATCATGAACGATATGACTCTAACCATGGGGCACCAATGTCCCCTTGAGTGCCTGCTTTCACTTCTGTTGGTTCACATGCCCAGAAGTGGAGTTTCTGGGCTGGATGGTAATTCTATGTTTAATTTTTTGAGGAACCAGTATACAATTTTCCACAATAACTGTGCCATTTATTATTGCCTACTGGCAATGCAAAAGGGTTCCAATTTCTTCATCTCCTCACCAACACTTGTTATTTTGTTGTTTTTTATAATAGCCATCCTAGTGGTTGTGAAGTGATACCTCATTGTGGTTTCGATTGGCACTTCCTCAATGATTAATGATGTTGAACAAGTTTTTCGTCTGTTCATTGGCCATCTGCATGGCATTGGAGAGTAGTCTGTCTATTCAAGTGCTTTGCCCATTTTTTAATCAAGTTGTCTGTTTTTTGTCGTTGAGTTGTAGGATTTCTCTCTATATGTCCTGGATATGATTCTCTTATCAGATACTTTCTTTTGGAGGTGGCCTTGGCACCCTGTTGAAAGTGTCCTGGATGTTTTTAATCTTGATGAAGTGTATCACTTGTTGCCTGTGCTTTCGGTCTTGTATGTAGAAAATCATTGCTAAATCCAATATCCTAAAAATTATCTCCTGTTTTTTCCTAAGAGTTTTATACTCTTAGCTCTTACATGTAGGTCTTTGATGCATTTTGAGTTAATCTTTGTATAGGGTGTAAGGTAAGGGTTACACTTCATTCTTTTGCACATGGGTATCCAGTTTTCTGGTATCATTTGTTGAAAAGCTGTCCTTCTCCCACTGAATGGCCTTAGCAGTCTTGTTGAAGGTCGTTTGCCCATATATGTGAGAACTTATTTCTGGACTCTTTCCTATTCTGTGGGTCTAAATACCTGTGTTTATGTCAGTGCCATGCTGCTTTGTTTATTGTTAACTTTGTAAAGAGTTTTATAATCACACGGGAAATGTGAGACCTCATCTTTATCCTTTTTCACGATTGTTTTGTCTATTTAGGATCCGTTGAGATTCCATATGAATTTTAGAATGGAGTTTTATATTTTTGCACAAAAACGCTGGGAACATTTATTTTTATACTTTCTTATTATAGTGTTAATCACACATGTATGTCCTTTATTAGAAAGGAATTTCTGGATGTTAGTGATAATTTTCAGTCCCTTTTTCTCTGATGATGTACAGTAAATGCTCATAAATCCTTTAAAAAATTGATTGCCCCTGGGGAAATATATATTTTTTTTATTGTTGGAGATTCATTGAGGGTACAAAGAACCAGGTTGCACTGATTGCATTTGTTAGATAAACTCCCTCTTATAATTGTGTCCCGCTCCCAACAGGTGTGCCACACACCATGACCCCCTAACCCCCTCCTTCCATCCCTCTTCCCACTCTGTCACTCCCCCCCACGTACTAGGTCATCAGTTGTCCTAGCTCATTATTTTTAATTATTAGAACATTCCTGACTCTGTAGACCAAATAAAGCCCTGCCTCCTAGACTCCTCCTTCATGGAAATTGAGCATTTGTAAATACGGTAGAACCTCCATAGTTGGCCACCTCCCTACATTGACCACCTCCTTAAGTTGATCTTATTTTCATAGACCAGACATACACCTCATGTACATATCTGTACAGCAAGCCTAGTTCCTTATGTAATCACCTTCGTATGTTAACCCGTTTGATACAGTCCTATGATGGTGAACTCACAGAAGTTCTACTCTATAGTCATCTGTGGGTATCTGTTTCCCCACTCACATTCCATGAGGGCAGGTCTGTATCATTTCCCTACGCCTATAACAGTGGCTGATGTACAGTAGGTAGATGTTCAACAATTATTTGTTGCTGGCACTTTCTTGTGATTTCGATTCTTTCAGGTAATTCTCTCTCTTCGTGGCTAACTGTCCTTTCAAGATTATAGGTAAATTAATTCACATTCTCGACATACCACTTGGGATGACAAAGGACAGACTGTGTTTGAAAGTGTATCGTGTAGACATGAGTTTTTCCGAGTAAGCATGCTGGAAAAAATGTAGAAGTGATAAATTTTGTAGAGTGGTAAGACAGTTGTCTTGAGAAAATATCTATGCTAATATTTATTTCTATCTTTTATGTGATTAGGAAAAACTCAGACGTGTGTATTTTGTATTTTAGAACCAACCAGTTTTGCTTTTTGGACGACCTCAGGGAGATGGTGAAATTCGAATAACTACTTTAGACAAGCACACAAAACAAGAAAGGTGAGTGTTGAACAGCAGCATTGATTTTCAGAATGAGCAATTCGTATCTGAAGATTGAAAAAAACCTCTAAACAACTCCTCTAGGGTGAGGGAGGGGAAAAATGAAAGACAAGACACACCAACCCATAATCTCTAATATTTTCACATTGTATATCAAATCAGGACACCGTACCCCATAAATACATCAGTGTACACAGTTATGATTCAATAAAGAAAAAAATAGAAATGTCTTCAAAATTGTTAATATAGGCTCAGTGCCTGTAGCTCACGAAGCTAAGGCACCAACCACATACATCAGAGCTGGTGGGTTCTAATCCAGCCCGGGCCTGCCAAGCAACAATGACAACTACAACCAATAAAATAGTGGGGTATTGTGGGTGCCTATAGTCCCAGCTACTTGGGAAGCTGAGGCAAGAGAATCACTTAAGCCCAGGAGTTGGAGGTTGCTGTGAGCTGTGACACCATGACACTTCACCTAGGGCAACAGCTTTACCTACAGCAACAGCTTGAGGGTCTGTCTCAAAAAAACCCCCAAATTGTCAACATATGTTTTTGGCTGGGTTTACTGGTCAGACTGGTGAGATAGTTTTAAATTTGCCTCTGATGGATTGTTTTAAGGTCATAAACCTGTAAACCCAGCCTAAAACAACCTTTGTTTATATAATTTTTGGTAAATAAGATTAATTTTGTATCGTTAATTTAATAAACTTTATCTGTTATCTTCTGAAAAAAATAAAATTTTCCAATATAGGTATCTTAGGAAGTCCCCTCTCTGTTCTGGCATCTGTGAATCTGTTTAAGTGCTTAAGAAGTCAGTAGCAAATATACCCAATCAGCTAGAGTGAAAAGTGTCCATTAAAGAGAAAAGAGAAATAGACAACTACCATAAAAACATAATTATTTTTAAGAATATATTTTAAAATAACTAAAAATAATGGAAATATTTCCTAAGAAAAGAATACTAAATAAGGATCACGTACCAATAGGTCTTGAAGGAAATTGCTAAGTGGAATCTTTGAAGGTTGGTAGACTTAGCCTGGAGTCCTGAATGACGTGTATGGAGGGTACCAAAAAAAGTATACACATTTTAAGAAAGTTTGACTTCTGAAATTACAAGAGATTAGAAGATAGAATTTGTTATACCCGATAACAAATGTTATTGATATACAAGTAGATCATTACAATTTTAATACATTTTTTTCCCCTAAAATGTATGTGCTTTCATTTTTTGGCGTACTCCGTACATGTGCTTGTCAAACTGATGCTTTTGTGGTTTATACCATTTTTTGGAGCCTTTGGAGAGGAGAAAGTCAGCCAGCAGAGGGCAGCATTGGCTCTTGGCTTCTGCACGGATGCTCTGGCTCCACAGGTGGCTCAACAACATAGCCTTGAAACCACTCTGGGAAAAATAGTGCATGTATCTTTATCATTGTGGAAAAAAAAAAAACAAAAAAAAACATAGTGCGTTTTAATCATTGAGAGTTTACAAAAATGTACAAGTATACAAGCTTTGGTATTGTAGAATAGGGTTATAAGGTTTATTTTCTCCCCCCAAATTACTTTGTTCTTAATAAGAAAAAAGACATGTTAACATGGAAATTTCACCATAACTTTTCTAGATGACATTTTGCTCACGCACTGTTCTATTTAGGTTTCGGGTGGTCCCTTAAACCATGAGGCATAGCACAGAGAGTAACAGCAGAGGTTCCAACAACCAGACTTGTTTGTGCATCTCCCCTGCGCCTCCCTAGCAGTGTAACCTTGAACCAATTGATCAGCTTTTCCAAGTCTCAGTTTCCTCCCCAGGAAAATGAAGTTGGTAATAGGTATCTATCCAGCAGCTGCTTCTAGGGCTTTAAACTGAGTCATATTTCTGAAAGTGACAACACTTCTCAAGGAATTCTGGCTGATGCCTTGTAACTTCAGTAGAAATTGGCTGTATTGCCGTCATTAATATTATTCTGTAATTCAGCTTTTAAACTAAAGGGGAAGGTCACTGCTCATAGACAGGCTGTATGGTTTGTCTCAATGAGTCCTTCTGCAACTCCGCAGCCTGTGCATTGTTTTTATTATGATTTTGTCATTTTAAGACGAGGAGACTGAGGTACAGGGAAGATGTTTACCTGGTAAAGGGTGGTACTAAGATACAAACTGCCCTTACAATGTCAGATTCCTCATTCTCCTAACTATGCGACACTGCCTGTTGTCCTTAATGCAAAGGAAACCCATTTGGTTGGTTTAATTAAATCTTACCAGGAAAGAAATTAATGCTTATGCTTCTAAAGCATTTAAAATCAATCTCTCTCTCTCTCTTTCACAGGCATATCTTCTTGTTTGATTTGGCTGTGATTGTATGTAAAAGGAAAGGGGATAACTATGAGATGAAGGAAATAATAGATCTTCAGCAGTACAAGATAGCCAACAATCCCACAACTGATAAAGAAAATAAAAAGGTGACTTCTTGGAACTCTAATTTACCGATGACTTTGAATCTTCAGGAAACGTGTGCTAACACACTCATGTGAGAGATGGCTTACTCATCAGGTGTTTCTGTTTCTAGAGATTAAGTGCACGTCTTTGTAAGAAATCACTGCCCAGTGCCCCAGACCTGATCTGATCATTCTGATGCCTTAGTGATCAAGATAGTCAGATGCATTGGGCACAGAAATTGTTAGGGATTTGAGGTTTGCTACAGTAATAAGCTTCCACGTTCAGTTTGTACACTGACAATGTTTGGAAAGGCTTTTGGACAGTTACAGTGGTGGGGTTGCATTTGGAATCCTGATGTTACTAATGAATGACACACACTAACGTAAAGAATGTTCATTCCAACAGTGGTCTTACGGCTTCTACCTCATCCACACCCAAGGACAGAATGGGTTAGAGTTTTATTGCAAAACAAAAGATTTAAAGAAAAAATGGCTGGAACAGTTTGAAATGGCTTTGTGAGTATTTGTACTTTTCAAAGTGCTTTTTCCCCCCTACTACTTAAATCACTTATGAATAATGAACAACAAATAAATGTACTCTAATGCTTGTACAATATGCATACGGGCCGGGGAAACACTTTGCTCTGAGCATGAGTGCTACTAGGCTGTCGGCTCCATAACTTCGGTCTCGGAGGAGTCCTCTTAGAGAAATTTAGGTGAATTTCTTCAAAAAGAAGAAAGAGGGAGCTCTAGTCTTCTGGTTGACTTTCTTCTCACAGGAATATTTTAGTTCTTTAGCTTTCTTTCAGTGGCCAGAGAAAATATTCATATTCTAATGATAAATTTTTTAATGTGATTACTGTTTTTAAATATATGTCTTTAAATAGAAATACCCCTCCTCCCAACACCTACACACGGGGATAGACACAGACTACACATACTATATACATTTAACTTATTTTTCACAGAATGAATGATTTCTTTGCTCTGTTTTTAACTCATTTGTTTGAAGCCTGGCTAAAATGCTTGATACATTATACTCAAGGAATGCTGTGAGGGCCTGATTTCTTTCCCTGTTCTTTTATTAAAGAGAAAACTCAACAAAGAGGTGGAAAATAAATCAGAGCTGTTTCAAAGGGAATGGCATACAGAGATGGAATTATCCAAGAACAGGTCATTATAGGAATTTCTTTTTAGTTTTTATGTGGACAGATTAAAAGGTGCACAATGACCCTTCTTTTAGAAACGTATAGGTTACCCTGAAATATTTGGCCAAAGGTGAAATTAAGTGAAACCACTTTTGTGATTTCTTATATTTGTGTTCTAGCATCATTTGTCATTTGTTGAAAAAAATCTTATCAGTTTATTTTACTTTGTTTTAAGAAATGCTTGTTTTTTTTTTTTTTTTTGAGACTCACTATGTCATCCTCTGTAGAGTGCTGTACCATTACAGCTCACAGCAACCTCAAACTCTTGGGCTTAAATGATTCTCTTGCCTCAGCCTCCCAAGTAGCTGGGACTACAGGCGCCCACCACAGTGCCTGGCTTTTTTTAGTTGCAGTTGTCATTGTTGTTTAGCTGGTCCAGGCTGGATTTGAACCCGCCAGCCTTGGTGTATGTGACTGGCACCATAACCACTGTGCTACAGGCGCCGAGCCTAGAATGGTTTATTGTGGTTCTAAATAGAAGAAAATACAGATTCTTTTATTTAATATTTTGAGAGACAGGATTGTATAGGCAAAGTATTTTTAAGCTTGCAGACCATTGTGGTTCAACTGTTGTCACCGTTGTGAACTGGCTGCGCAGTCCTCAGTTTGCTCATGCATAAAATAGGGAGAATATTTTGTAAAGTTCCAGATAATGTGTCAGCAGGATGCTAGCCCAGTAGTACAGTAGCAATCATACGGTGTCAAGCAATGGGTGATGTTTACTGTCATTGCTATGGCTAATATTGTTTGGTATTTAGAATCCTGGTGCACTTACAGGTGCTTATGAAGCCAGAGAACAACTTCCTGTATACTATTATAGTTCTCATAATTTATTGATTATAATAAACAAGAGGTAAGCAATTTAGTGCGTTAATACAGTGGCTATCCTACAGGGACCCACTTGGTTTGGGGCACAAGTGATGACGTTGGTGACCTCTGCTCCAAGTCTGATTAATAGTGAGTTATCAGAAACCTAGGGTTTTCGTGAGACGTTAGGGGTGAGCTGGTGGAATTGATGGATAGGATGCTTGGGTCAGTGATAATGTGCAGAGGCAGAGCTGATCTGCTTCAGCCTCTGCTCTCGTGGGAAGGATGCCCGGCTAGTATTTTCTGATAGATCCTGGCTGGCTATATAATCCTTAGATGAGTGAAGGAATTTCTGCAGAGGAAGAGAGCTGCATTTCTTGTCCCACAGCAGTCAGGCTCCGTGGACTGGATGACAGACGTATTGGTGACTATTTTTTCCAGTTGCCATCATGTAATAAAAGACAACTAAGAAATGACAGTGTGTGAAATACAGCAGCCCTGGTGTATGTCCCTAGAAGGGCTTCTCCTCTGCATCCTTAGCGTTAACACGGGTGTCCTAAGGTCTTCTAGAGCCCTCTGTAGCTTCAGTGAATTCTGAAAAGGAAAGGGAGGCGCTGGTGGGAGGGTGGTGGGAGTTCAGAGGAGCTGGTATTTTTAGGATTGATGAAATGCTTTCCAGCTCTATTTACAGAAGATGACCTGCTGTTCGTAAGATGACTGGATCATTTTTATGTAAAATAACTGCAAATCACCTTTAAGACTCTTCCCCTACTGCTCCTAATTTAGAACGTTAAGAAAGACCATAGGAAAGCGTGGATACCAGTAAACAAGTAGCCAGTAAACACAGATCATCTCCCCGGAGGTGACCTGAGTCTCAGCCTCTGTCTTTCCTAAGCCCACCCTCGTCCATGCTCCACAGTCGTGTTCTCTGACCGTCTTTGGCCATGACCACTTCCAGCCTTTAAAATATGCAGTGAACCACTCAGAACTTGGCAAGCATCTGTAGGAAAGGCGGAACAAAGAGGAAGGCAGCAGTGACCCACTTGGATAGAACAGGAAGACGATTTTTGTTTTTCTCTTTTCCTGTGAGAAGTGGCAGGACTGATTGCTCCTGTGGTTGTTGGAACAATTATTGAGCCCAAGAATGTTCATATGCTGTAGTCCTGGGGACCATACTCTTAAGAATATGTTTAAATCTTTCAGAGGCTGATTGATATGCATTGCTTACTTTTATTTATTCCAAGAGGGCTTTCTGTCACTAACTGTCTCTCACAATTTCCTTTAGTCATCTGTGAAGTAGGACGGCAAACGTTTTTATTGGGTTAAGCGGGCTTTCATAATGACGCTGGGAAAATGTGGCTGTGAGTGCCTATAGGAATGTTAAAACGTTGTTATGAAGCTTTGGCTATGTTTGCCTTAAATCCATTCTACCCATTGTGCTTTTATGAATTTTTCTGTTAGATTTAAATTAATAAATCTTGTCATACCCATTTTATACCTCGGGACACTAGCAGTTACAAGAGCATTTCAGCAAATTCAAGTTTAGTTTGATGCTGTATCGTTTACAGTAGAGTCGAAGATCTCAGTTCCCAAGATCTTTTTGATCTATGAGCATGCTAAAATCAGCAACTAGACTCACACCTTCTTACCTAAAACTGCAGTCAGGGTTATTCTCTTTGTTTTCACTTTTTGTCCCACTGTTTTTAAGACCTAGGGATCAGTTTCTTTAAGTGTCCCAGGAATAAGTCACAACTGAGTACTATATAAAAGAAGTTAAAATAATAGAATAAAGAGGGTTTTGAAAAGGAGAGTTAGGAAGAAAAGGTAAAATAGGAGGTGAAAAAAGGCATCACACGTGATAGAAATTGATAGATTGAGGCTCGGCGCTCGTAGCATAGTGGGTACGGTGCCAGCCATATAAACTGAGGATGGCACGTTTGAACCCAGCTTGGGCCAGCTAAACAACCACAATAAAAAAAATAGCTGGGCATTGTCATAGGTGCCTGTAGTCCCAGCTACCTGGGAGACTAAGGCAAGAGAATCGCTTAAGCCCAAGAGTTTGAGGTTGCTGTGAGCTGTGAAGCATGGCACTCTACCCAGGGTGACATAATGAGACTATCTCCCCCCCCCCACCCCAAAAAAGAAAGAAATTAATAGATTTAGAATCAGCCTCAATAGTGTTATGTATTGAAGGGCAGTGAAAGGTCCTCTTGGCCTAGGGTTTCTTCTGACCAACCCAACCCAATTCCTAAAATTTTAACAATTCACATTTATGCCCTTGAATGTAGAAAGCCCTTTTGGAGATGTGTGTGCCGTTATTACTCTAACTATCTAAGATTTCTTAACTGGGCAGTAGATGCCAGACTGAGAGCTATATGGATGTGCAGGTACTTTACCAAAGGAAAAGTAGAAGAGGGGTCAATCATGTCTGCTAGAATATTAGCCCAGTATATTTATATGTTAAACACTAGGCTAATGGTAGTGTGGAGAAGAGAGGGAGAATGGGGATAGGGAGTCTGGAGCTTACACTGGTTACCCAGAGGCAGCCCCTGAGCTTTGCGCCTCCCAGGATGAGAGCCCCGAAAGGAGCTGCCCAGGTGGGATGGGGCAGGGAGTGGGAATTTCGTCGATAAGCTCCACAAATCACATTTAATCTGAGGCACAGTGTTTCTTTCTAATTTATTCCCCATCCACTTCCAGAAGGAATTTGAAATCACTCACAATAAAAAGCACACGTGCTGCAGAATTAAAAAGAAAAATTTAAATAATCAGAGGTCAAAGAGAACAGTGTTTCCAAGTATTTGCTTCAAACTCAGGCTCCGGCACATGAGAACATTCTCTTAAAATGTACTTTCTGTAGTTTGTGTAATGAAGACAATAAGCCCATTCTTCACATTTCAAATACAAAATTATTTTGTCAAATATAATTTGTTTTAATCTAAAGATACTACTCAGATACTCTGAATACCAGAGAGATAATTGCCAGAGGAAATTTCATTCATTCTGCAAATATTTATTGAACACTTGCCTTGTTGCCAGACACCATTGGAAGCCCTGGGCGTGTAACAATGAGGGAGCTCTTGCAACTGAATTTAAATATTATCATTCCTAAATGGAGTAATGTTCAGTTAGCATATAATGGATGACATTTTAGGATTGAACTCTTGAGAGTTCTATCCAAGTCTTGATATCTCTCCAACCCCATTTACTCAAGGATCAATAGATGGAGGCCTGAGAATTGCTCTTGACACAGCCCTGTACCTTCCGTATGTAATCAGTCTTTCCCCTGTCTCTGCAGATTAGATCTGACCTCGTGCCTCTATCTCCATTGCCACCCCTTGGTTTAAGCCTTCTGCATGTCTAACTAGCTTCTTATTCCCTGCTTCCTCTCAACCAGTTCATTCTTCATGAAATTATCAGAGTGATCTGATTGTGTTCTGGCCTACTTATAATTATAACCCATTGTGGGCTATTTATTATACTTGGTATAATATCAAAGCT